GTGATACACTTTAGTGCTGCTGTAAGCAAGATTCTTAAGAGATACTTTTTATTGTTTCCCACAAAACCATTTGGTAAGACTCCTAAAATGGCTAGCTGTTGGTCTTTTGTTAATGGTTGCTGGGAAACTGTATTGAGAACTTTAAATATGTCGTTCCAAAATGACCAGAATTCTAGTACAATTTCAATGTTTTGTTAGTTTATTTTATTTGAAAGTGTGGGTGTTAATTTTCATTATTCGTTTACTTTTTTGACATATCATGAATCCTTTGATTACATGTAAAGTTCAGTTTTTAATTTTGTTTTTATGTTTTTGTTATTTTAATAGTACTACAAGGTTTCCTATTGACTTTTCCTTACATGGCCTGACATTCAAAACATGAGCAACTGGACTCCCTCATCTATAATTTACTTCGGTAATGTGAGCACAACCTTTGGCGACTTGTGCCAGTCCTAGCAGAGATGGGACTACCACAGTTCCTCCTGTCACTTATCCCCAACATAGATAAAGTTACTGGCAATGATGGTGGAAACATTCATTGCTTGTTTTTGAAGGACTGTGTCCAGGTAAAAGTTTGGGTTCAGTGATTCGTTTTGCTGCTAACAATGTTTTGAAGTATTAAAGTAACAAACTGTAAGTGCTGTGGATTTCATTATTTTTAATTGTCAATATTAAAAAATGTAAACTGCAGACAGCAGACTTGTTACTTAAATACTTAACACAATTCGTACAGCTGATACAAATGCCACAGGCTAATACAAAAAGTAAAATAAATGCAGTCAGCAATATATATATTTCTCTCGACTGTTTTTTTATGGATCTGTGTTGGTTGAATACCCCAAATCCTTTTCTCTACAACTTTTGGGAGCTCGGCTTCAGTTTAGCTAAAAGGAAGTTATAGGACATTAGATTGCCCATAACTAGTAAAGACGAGCTTCATTCACTTCTATGACCTTTGCTATGGTAATAAATTTTTCCCACCAATGTTAAACTACCATCTGTCCCCAAATGAAGCATTTGGTTACTAGAGTAACTCTAGTTCTTTGGAAATATTACCCGGTACTCAATCGCTCTCACCAAGAGGCACTTCCCATAGTGAGATATGGAGTGAGGTTTGAAATAAAACTGCACGTAACTCACATTAAGTAGGGTATTACGGTGCTCGTATCAAGCTAAAGCTAGTTTCCTAGTTGTAGCTAAAAACACTTTGTATTTATTTTGTACTGAATAGAATTTAGGTGACTTCTGAAGTGTTATCATAATTGAACATTTGACATATTGTGGGTAATGCAATAAACTACTTTAAATTCTTTTCCTTATTTTCAATAATATACATGATCTCGCTGAACAGAACATGCAGTATAGCACAGTAATGAACTTTTACTGTAACATCAAATAGGCCTAAAAACAACAGTCACTGTCTATTTTATGCTTCATAAGCTTAAAGTCAAA